AAAATTTTTAAAAAGTTGGAACCATGGGAAATCATGGATATATTTGAACAAGGACTGCCAGTCCTTGATATAATATACAATTAGTTTCATGTTTCTATAATGTTTTTGAAAATGTAGTTGAACCACCTTACAACTTGTACTCAACTGACCGAATTTAAACAAAATTTTTAAAAAGTTGGAACCATGGGAAATCATGGATATATTTGAACAAGGACTGCCAGTCCTTGATATAATATACAATTAGTTTCATGTTTCTATAATGTTTTTGAAAATGTAGTTGAACCACCTTACAACTTGTACTCAACTGACCGAATTTAAACAAAATTTTTAAAAAGTTGGAACCATGGGAAATCATGGATATATTTGAACAAGGACTGCCAGTCCTTGATATAATATACAATTAGTTTCATGTTTCTATAATGTTTTTGAAAATGTAGTTGAACCACCTTACAACTTGTACTCAAATGAACGAATTTAAACAAAATTTTTAAAAAGTTGGAACCATGGGAAATCATGGATATATTTGAACAAGGACTGCCAGTCCTTGATATAATATACAATTAGTTTCATGTTTCTATAATGTTTTTGAAAATGTAGTTGAACCACCTTACAACTTGTACTCAACTGACCGAATTTAAACAAAATTTTTAAAAAGTTGGAACCATGGGAAATCATGGATATATTTGAACAAGGACTGCCAGTCCTTGATATAATATACAATTAGTTTCATGTTTCTATAATGTTTTTGAAAATGTAGTTGAACCACCTTACAACTTGTACTCAACTGACCGAATTTAAACAAAATTTTTAAAAAGTTGGAACCATGGGAAATCATGGATATATTTGAACAAGGACTGCCAGTCCTTGATATAATATACAATTAGTTTCATGTTTCTATAATGTTTTTGAAAATGTAGTTGAACCACCTTACAACTTGTACTCAAATGAACGAATTTAAACAAAATTTTTAAAAAGTTGGAACCATGGGAAATCATGGATATATTTGAACAAGGACTGCCAGTCCTTGATATAATATACAATTAGTTTCATGTTTCTATAATGTTTTTGAAAATGTAGTTGAACCACCTTACAACTTGTACTCAAATGAACGAATTTAAACAAAATTTTTAAAAAGTTGGAACCATGGGAAATCATGGATATATTTGAACAAGGACTGCCAGTCCTTGATATAATATACAATTAGTTTCATGTTTCTATAATGTTTTTGAAAATGTAGTTGAACCACCTTACAACTTGTACTCAACTGACCGAATTTAAACAAAATTTTTAAAAAGTTGGAAAAGTTAAAGATAATTACGTCAAAAATATTATTAATAAAAAAAGTTAAAAAAATATCGTCCAATCCTATATTTTATTTCTGTTATTTTGGTCATTTTTTCTATCTTATTAAGCAGGTATACAAACAAAAATAATGGCCTTTATAATATTTTATTCTCATACTTTGTCCATATTTAATTTACTAACCTAAATAGACCCAAAATATATGTACATATTATATGAATTATTCCAATAATAATTATTTCTAATAGCAACCACATTGTTAGAATAGCCCTTTGGAAGATGATTGAAAAATAGATTTTTTCCTCGTAATTTATCTCATTCTTTAATTGGCACTGTCTTTGGGCCTTTGATTTTATGTTCTGACTCATTAAATGTCTGAAACTAATCTAAATTTTAAGCAATAACTTCTTGAAAGTTTGACTTAAGTTTACCTAAACATTCAAATTTCTTTTGATTTTCTTATAAATTTGTGTTTATCACATGCATATATTATGAATAGTTGACCGATTTTTGTTCTGTTATTTCTTTATTTCTTCATTTTAAAGCAATAAAAAATCTTTCACATGCACTTTTATTAAGGGCATGGCCAAAAACCATTAGAGGCTAAATGATTAAAGAAAATCATTTAATGTTTAATTACCTATAAAGGGCATGAAAACAATCCCTTTGAGAGAAAATGCCGACCTTTTATCCCTGACAAGTTTTTAAATTCCCAAAAATTAAGCGAGAATAGTCTCAAATAAATCCCTAGACCGTTATTCCGTCCTCTTGAAATAAAGCTATGAAAATTTTCATTTTTCCTTCATGTTTTTTCGTATTTTTTCACTAATTGAACCTTCTATTGAATGCCCCTTCTATTGGAATCATCTCTCAAGGGCGATTAAAAAACTAATTTCGAGTTAGTCCAACACCGATTTCTAAATCAAATTTAACAATAACAAAAATTTCAAAATTAAAAAGCATATGAAATAAACATGTCAAATATTAAAGACCGCCTTTTTTGAATTTCTTTTTCACGTGAATATTAAATTAATTTTATATTTAAATAACGAGAAATTATTTTATTTATTCATTTTAATTAAAATCTGCGATAAAAAATAAATTAAGGCAATGGTTAAATGCTTACCCAAGTTTTAATTTAATCCTTAACAAGGCTGGCCATAGATGGACAACCCGAATCCCAGTCTAAAAATATAATAAAAATATATCCAGTAAGGGAAGGCTAAAAGTTTAGCTCTAAGCAGGAATAAATCCTGAGACCTTCGACAGCACGGGTGCTTTCGGCTCCCCACTCCCATCTACCAAGAGACCTATCGGGGTTAAACTTCCCTTATAATAGATACTAAACCTCATCTAATCATTCTCCCCTATACAATCTATTATTTTTATTATGGAACTGAATAAAATTTAAACTTAATTTTAACATAAAATTTAGACAAAAAAATGCCTCCAATCACAAATTTTATTTTACCTATAATCCTTCTCTTATTTGTTGTTATTGAAATTGAAACAACACCGATTGCATTAAAGCCTATCAGAATCAATTCTGAATCAAATTTGTTTCAATATCACAAGCATTTTTCGGCGCCTCCAACTGTTTCATTTTTAAAGTTAAAAAAAGCAATGTTGAAACAGGCAAAAATAAGTAACAAAAACAGAAGAATTATTTTGGCATCGAATGCACCTCCTTTCCATTTGGAAGAAGTTAGAAAAGATTACCCGGTGAAGCAAAGACTTCAAAAAAGCCAATTTAATATTAAAAATGTTAAATCAGAAGGTGATATGGTTAGAATGAAGGAAGGATTAATTAGCAATATTGGGAAAGAGTCGATTATTCAGAACCAGCCTGCCAGGAAATGGATAATTAAACAAGTATGTTGTTTTTAATTTAATTAAAAATCTGATTAACACTGAGTTACAAATATTAAATTATTTACTGAAAGTCTACCAGAATTCTTGAGAAAAATATTTCTGGAAGTCGTTGACACAGGCTTCCCTACAGAAAATCAGCCAAGAGTGGAAATTAGTTTTATGAATAATGCCAATTCCCTAGTTCGTCATTCAAAAGAGTTGTTAAATCGAGACTGGTTTTAGAGGGAAATCTTAGTTGGTAACCCATGAAAAGATTTGTTATTTCGAGAGAATTCGTTAGATCAAAATTCACTAATCGAAATTTTACTGAATTAAAATTATTTAGGCTTCTGGAGGGCTTGTTTCAGCAGTCGAGCCAGTGATGGAAAACAACAAGGAAAACATTTGGGTTTTCCACGTTACAGGTAAATTTTTATTTTTTAAAAAGCCAAATGAAAACTTGTTTAGCTGGCAATTCAAATCTTCCCCCAGAGGATGACCCAAAACTTAAAGCCATTGAGAAACACAAATCAAAATCAAATTTTGGTTTGAGATCGGTATAATTTTCTTTGATAAGTATTAAGCAAAAAAAGTTATTTAATTAAGGTCTTAATTGATGATCAAACTTATCATTATTATTATGAGGATATAAGCAATTGCATTCTATGGCCAGCATTACACAATATTCAGGAAAATATTAAAATTCATGAAAATGAACGAGTGTTTAATGAGGCCATAAATGGTGGGTAAAGAACACATATTTGAAGCCATGATGGACCTCTGAATGCTCTGCTAGACCTCAATCTATTGAACCTCAAAAAGGATTAGACATATTACGGGCCTAGGGAGTTCAGGCGTTCTTCTCGAGCTCAGGGTCGACTGGCGGTAAAGCCTATACCTTCCATCATTCCTTCCATTATGCGGTATCTTGCCAAAATCATTCAGGGCCCGTTGTCTTGTGGCAGTTAACCCTCTAAGACAGATCGAAACTCGAATCAAAAATATTTTTGTTAATTTTTACAGCCTATAAAAACGTAAATAAACAATTTGCCCAAACAATTTTTGACTTGAAAAGGACAGAAAATGATTTTATTTGGATTCAAGATTATCATTTGATGCTTGTTGGATTTTATTTGAGACAAATGGAAAACGAAAAAATGTTTAAAAATAAAAAACCGATGGAGCTTGGATTCTTTTTACACACTCCTTTTGAATTGGCAGAAGGGTTTACTGAAAAATTTAATGAATTTGGGGTTCAAATAATTAATGGAATCTTGAATTTTGACAAAGTTGGGTTCCAAACAAATAAAGATAGGCAGAAATTTATAAATCTGGCAGTTAAATTGTTCAATTTAAATTTGGAACACAAACCAAAAAATATAATTAATTTAAAAAATAATTATATTACACCTGTGAATGGATGTAATTTGGGGGTTTACCCAGCTACCATAAATGTCAACGAATTTATTAAAATTGCCGAAATGGAATCAACTTTGATAGAAGCCAGAAAGTTTAGAGAAAATGTAATTAAGTTTTAAAAATAAAGGCGATGTAAGATTAAGAATACGATCCCTTCATACTTGGCTTATTCCCAATTTATGCTTTAGATCTATAATTTTATTCAGTTTTAATGATTTGTAAATTTTCTATTTCCTCGAAAACGTAAATATCCTAGTAGATGGCCATTCTTATAGAAGCACTCCTTATTGAAGCCCACCTCTTATAGAAGCCCATGCTCCTTTAGACAAACTGCTCAGGATTTCTATTAAGATACTAAATATTTACATTAATTTACCCTCTAGAAATAATTTTATTTTTATTAAAAATATAATTTCGCCCCTCAGATAATGGCAAACACTTTGGAAGGCGGCAAACTTTTCTTTAGTGTTGAACGTTTTGATTACACTAAAGGAATCTATGAAAAATTGGAAGGTTTCAAGAAGTATCTTGAAAGATACCCCGACCGCATCGGCAGGGATGTGTTTTATCAAATAGCTCCATATAATCGTCGAAATATTGAAAACTACAAAAATTATCAAGTAAAAGATTTAGAAAACTTGTCAAAAAATATGTTTAAGAAGAAAATTTTTTAAGAAGAGGGGTTGGAGAATATCTGTTATTACCTGAAATAGCAAGGGATATATGGGCCGGGGGTGAGCGCATTGTGCTTTGATTTGATTGAGTTTGCTATTTTATTCACGTGAAAAATTATCCTCCATGCTTTTAATTGCTCAATCTTTAATCTATTAAATTAACATGTGTATGTACTTTTTTCACGTGCAAAGTGCTTTGAATTTAAACGAGCAAAGACCGAAAAGTACAATTGTCAAGGACTTATAATTTTTTAAATTTTAAATAAAAATATTTAAATTAAATTCTATTGCTAGAACAACTCTCTAAAAATCAAAGAAAAAATCAGAGTAGAATTTGGAGAAGGATCTACTAAAAGAAATGATAATATAAAAATACCGGAAGGATATGAACCCTTTATTATCGAATTAGAAGGGGTTCCACGTGAAAAACTGGTTACTAGATATTTGGCTATGGATGTCGGTGTAGTTACACCAGTAATGGATGGAATGAATCTGGTAGCAAAAGAAATGATAGCCTCAAACCCGAGAGCCCCTCTTGTTCTCTCGAAAGGTGCCGGTACTCATCACCAACTTAAAGAAAATGGATTGGGTGGAAATTATTTTTTGATTGAAGATATTAAAAATTCTGAACATTTTGCCAATGTTTTGCATGATTCTACAGTATTGTCTGAAGAAAAGCAAAAAATACGGGGCGAGAAACTTAGAGAATACCTCAAAAACCACAGTGTTGATAAGTAAGTAGAAAAATAAGAGTGAATTCAAATAGGTCATTTTACCACCTAGTGGGAATGGTGGTCCATCACAAGCACACCCTAGACGTAAAAATTGACTGGCCATAACTTGGCCCAATGTCGTTTTGTAAGAAAACGAATATCACTTTGCAATAGGACGTCGGGGGGTAGATGGGTAGATAAGAGTTCTGGCGATTAGTATATTAAGGATCAGATAATGGGTAGAAAAGAGTTTTGGCAATTAGTAGAGTGGAGATCAGACAATGGGTAAATAAGAGTTCTGACAATTACTAAATTAGAGATCAGACAATGGATTAGTAAATTAGAGATCAGACAATTGGTAGATAAGAGTTAAGCCAATTAGTAGATTAGAGTTCAGACAATGAGTAGGTAAGATGATTTATCCTTTTTTAAGATGGTTCTACTATTAAATATCCCATCCCATGGATTTTCCAAGGACTGAACAATACAAAATCAGAATTAGAAAATTGGGAATTAGTAAATTAAAGATGAGACAATGGGTAGATGAGAGACCTTAACCGATTTCAAAGTAAAACCGGCTTCAAAATTCATGTTATAATATTATAGATTTATTTAACTTAATTTCCAGATGGAGTGAAGAGTTTTTGGATGAATGAACAATCTTGGAAGTAGCTATTGATGATATATTTTTTGTGTTTTTGATTTAACTTTTTAGGGTTAGAATGGCATTTACTAGATCTATCTAGTTGTACATATGTTTTTTTGTTAGGGTATTTAACTTTGAGCCTATACTATTTTTTAAATTAATGTTTTATTAGAATATGTAGATATATGTATAAAGAATAGAAATTTAATCTCTCTTCTATAGACAAAGTTTCGGCTTCAAATTGATATTAAAATAAGTTTTGTTAATAACACATACAGTTCTATATATCAGGACTGGGCGAAATTTAAAAATAAAAAGCGAAATGCGAAATAAGCCCAGCCCTGGTGTATATCCATTTAAATATGGACAACTTACACAAAATTTATTCGAAATATTTAATTTCACAATTTATTTATAAGTTGGTTCTAGCCTGACATCACCATTTATAACCCAATGTTTGGGTTTTTCAATGATTAAATCAAGTATTGCTTCCATGCTTTTAATTGCTCAATCTTTAATCTATTAAATTAACATGTGTATGTACTTTTTTCACGTGCAAAGTGCTTTGAATTTAAACGAGCAAAGACCGAAAAGTACAATTGTCAAGGACTTATAATTTTTTAAATTTTAAATAAAAATATTTAAATTAAATTCTATTGCTAGAACAACTCTCTAAAAATCAAAGAAAAAATCAGAGTAGAATTTGGAGAAGGATCTACTAAAAGAAATGATAATATAAAAATACCGGAAGGATATGAACCCTTTATTATCGAATTAGAAGGGGTTCCACGTGAAAAACTGGTTACTAGATATTTGGCTATGGATGTCGGTGTAGTTACACCAGTAATGGATGGAATGAATCTGGTAGCAAAAGAAATGATAGCCTCAAACCCGAGAGCCCCTCTTGTTCTCTCGAAAGGTGCCGGTACTCATCACCAACTTAAAGAAAATGGATTGGGTGGAAATTATTTTTTGATTGAAGATATTAAAAATTCTGAACATTTTGCCAATGTTTTGCATGATTCTACAGTATTGTCTGAAGAAAAGCAAAAAATACGGGGCGAGAAACTTAGAGAATACCTCAAAAACCACAGTGTTGATAAGTAAGTAGAAAAATAAGAGTGAATTCAAATAGGTCATTTTACCACCTAGTGGGAATGGTGGTCCATCACAAGCACACCCTAGACGTAAAAATTGACTGGCCATAACTTGGCCCAATGTCGTTTTGTAAGAAAACGAATATCACTTTGCAATAGGACGTCGGGGGGTAGATGGGTAGATAAGAGTTCTGGCGATTAGTATATTAAGGATCAGATAATGGGTAGAAAAGAGTTTTGGCAATTAGTAGAGTGGAGATCAGACAATGGGTAAATAAGAGTTCTGACAATTACTAAATTAGAGATCAGACAATGGATTAGTAAATTAGAGATCAGACAATTGGTAGATAAGAGTTAAGCCAATTAGTAGATTAGAGTTCAGACAATGAGTAGGTAAGATGATTTATCCTTTTTTAAGATGGTTCTACTATTAAATATCCCATCCCATGGATTTTCCAAGGACTGAACAATACAAAATCAGAATTAGAAAATTGGGAATTAGTAAATTAAAGATGAGACAATGGGTAGATGAGAGACCTTAACCGATTTCAAAGTAAAACCGGCTTCAAAATTCATGTTATAATATTATAGATTTATTTAACTTAATTTCCAGATGGAGTGAAGAGTTTTTGGATGAATGAACAATCTTGGAAGTAGCTATTGATGATATATTTTTTGTGTTTTTGATTTAACTTTTTAGGGTTAGAATGGCATTTACTAGATCTATCTAGTTGTACATATGTTTTTTTGTTAGGGTATTTAACTTTGAGCCTATACTATTTTTTAAATTAATGTTTTATTAGAATATGTAGATATATGTATAAAGAATAGAAATTTAATCTCTCTTCTATAGACAAAGTTTCGGCTTCAAATTGATATTAAAATAAGTTTTGTTAATAACACATACAGTTCTATATATCAGGACTGGGCGAAATTTAAAAATAAAAAGCGAAATGCGAAATAAGCCCAGCCCTGGTGTATATCCATTTAAATATGGACAACTTACACAAAATTTATTCGAAATATTTAATTTCACAATTTATTTATAAGTTGGTTCTAGCCTGACATCACCATTTATAACCCAATGTTTGGGTTTTTCAATGATTAAATCAAGTATTTTACATACTGCATGAATTTCCGTATTATTTATTTTAATGAATTTCAATAATGGAACCGGGTTTATAGCCATGAAAGAGAATTGGTTGGGCTACAAAATGAGTGGAAAATCATTAAAAAATATTAATATTAAAAAAGTTACGATGAAAGGATGAATGCCTAGTTAATTTTTTGTAACCCTATATTCAAAATTCTATTTTGCATTTATTTTTAATTTTGCATTTATTAATTTAAATTTTCAATAAGTTTTTTCTTTTTTAAAAAATATTTTTTTGCAAGGGATCCCTCGCCCTCTACATGCTTGCCCTCTACATGCTTGCCTTCTACATGCTTGTAGAGGGCCTCTAAATGCTTGTGAGGTGAAATTAAGAAATAAATTCACGTGTAAATCTTTTTAAAAATCCTCATGTTTATCCCCCAATTTTAATAATAAATAAAATGAAGGGAAAGGTTTTTCACATGTTAATAATTAATAAAAATAAAAATAGAGAATCAAACATCAAACTTGATCAAATGCCAAAAAACTTCAAAAATAAATATATTAATCAAGAAATTTCTTTTAAAGATTTTTTTAAAAAATATTTTTTTATTTGAAATGTTTAAGTTAAATTTTTTAAAAATTTTTTCCTATTTCCCGAAAGTAATTTAAATTAATAAAAATTTAATAAAAAAAATTTTGCAAACTATTTTATTAATTATTTATAAAAAAACGATGCTTAAATAGAAAAAGCTTTAAAGAATTTAAATTTAAAAATAAAGTAAAAAAGCTCCTTAAATTGCAAGAAAAGTGAGAGGGCGTTAAACACGATCAACGCAATTTCAAAGTAAAATCACCAAAATTACCGCATTACTTTTTGAATATATCTTCTTAATTCCCCTTAAACTCCATGCCTTTCTATATGCCTTCCTAAAGGATTCTCCTTGAAAACTAATCGGAAATAGATCAAACAAAAGTTATTTAATATCAGTCATTCTCTGATTTTGAACTTTTAAAAAACCTAACTTTTAAAAAATAAACGACAGTGAAGATGGGAACTTGAGAAAGTAACTCAAGAAACCCGTAAAGGGCCAGTAGCTGGAAATTTGAAAAATAAATTGTATAGCCCTCCAGGAATTAAATTTTAAATTAAATTTTTATTTATTTTAATTAAATTTTTTAAATAAATTTTTTTATTTTCCAATCAATTATTCTGACAAAAAAAATTTTTTAATTTTGCTTGACAATAAAAAATATTTACAATGGAAGTGGAGAGAGCAGGAGAGGTGGAGTAAGAGGGAGAGGGGTTAAGGAAGGGGGAAGGAAGAGGGAAGGAAGGAGGAGGGAGTGAAAAATATTTTTTAAAAATCGAAGAGGCACTCTGAATTTTTTTAAAAAATTAAAAAATATTTTTTATTATTTAATATTGCTTTAAAAATATTTAAATTTTTCTGCAAAACTTTTCGACCACTAAAAAAATTTTTTTAAAAATTAAAAATTAATTTTAAATTAAATTTCCATTTATTTTAATTGATTTTTAAATTTAATTTTTAATTGGCAATCAATAATCTTGTAAATATATACACAAAAAATTAAAAATTATAAAGACAATAGAATATATTTAATAAGGAAGTAGCAGGGAGGAAGAGAGAGGCACTTCCGCCCATTCGCAAAACCTCTCCTCCTCCTCCCCTCCCACTCCCTCCGATAAATTTCCGCCCATCCTGACAAACTCTCTCACTCACGTCCACCTCCTCTCATCTCCCTCCCCTTCCCCTTCCCACTCCCTTCGAGAAGCTTCCGCCCATCCTCACAAACTCTCTCACTCCCGTTCACCTCCTCTCATCTCCCTCCCTCCCTCCTCCCGCTCCCTCCGAGAAGCTTCCGCACATCCTCACTAACTCTCTCACTCCCGTCCACCTCCTCTCATCTCCCTCCCCTCCCCATTCCTCCGAGAAGTTTCCGCCCATCCTCACAAACTCTCTCACACCCGTCCACCTCCTCTCAGCTCCCTCCGCCTCCCCTCCCACTCCCTTCGAGAAGCTTCCGTCCATCCGCAAACTCTCTCACTCCCGTCCACCTCCTCTCATCTCCCTCCCTCCCCCCTCCTACTCACTTTTCATAGTTAATATAAGGGAAATAGCTAAGCGATTCTAATCATTATTCTTCAAATATCTTCTTTATTAAAAATTAATAATAATTTAAATTAAATAATTCTCAAATTAAAGTTTTTTCTCTATGAGAAATCTTTTCAAATTTAGAAAAAGCTAAAATAAAAATTTTATTTTCAGTTAAATGAAAATTTTAAATCTTCTTCCTCCCAAAATTTTAATTTTTTTGTTTTTAATTTTTCCTTTTGCAATTGGAGTTTCACCACGTTCTGTTCTGGGTGAGATAAATTTTAAATGAAAATTTTTGGATACCCTAATATTTTTATATACGCATTCGGACCAACTAAAAGAGACGCTCTTTGATTGGAAAATATTTCAGCTTATAATGAAAGTATCTTAAATAAGGGTATCACTTAGAGGGTGCATGGAAGTAGAAGGGAGGAAGAGAGAGCACAGTGTCCAGCTAAACTTAAAAAATGTTTTAACAGACAATTTTTTTACAAATTTTTAACAGAAAGGAAAGCCCTAGCTACCAAATATGAAAGAATCATTTTGGCATCAAACGCGCCACCCTTCCATTTGGAAAAGTTAGAAAAGGATTATCCAATACAAAAGACTCAGAAAAGTCAGGATGACCACATTTCGACAGGGCTATTAAATCATGTCTCTCATTCGAATCGAAAGCGACAACGCCAAACAGAACCTAATGAAAATATTAAAAAACCAAAAGCTTCAGTTGATAATGAGCAATGGATAATTAAATCTGTATGTTTAAATTAAAGGGGATTTGACAATTAATTCTTTAATTAAAAAAGGCTTCTGGTGGATTGGTTACGGCAGTTGAACCAGTAATTAAAGCAAATAAAGAAAATGTTTGGGTTTTCCATGTGACACGTAAATATTTACTTAAAAATTATAAAATTCCAAGTAAAAATATGGGTAATAGTTTGGTTTCGACACTATTTTTTCCTGATTTCATTTGCAGCATCATTTCTCTTTTTCATTTATTACTTGAATCAACAAAGTTATGAACATTAGTTTTAATCACTTGAAGAGTCGGAAGTTTTTCCAATGAGGATTAGGTTTCCAGAATCACCGAAACCAATTTTGGTATCATTTGCCTAGCTTAAATAAACATGAAAGTGGGGTGGGAGGAGTTAAAACAGATTATTACTGCAACAATACATAATTAGCTTCCATTAACTGATGGAGGATTTTGATATATCGTTGTGAATCCCTTGTAACATAATAGATCATTTAAAAATAGAGAAAAAGTTGACCATACTTTGGCATATACTATAATACCATTATTTATTTATTTAGCTAGTGATCCTGAATACATTCATACGCCAGAAAAAGACCCAAAACTTATGGCCATTGAAGCGTACAAGAATTCAGAAAAATCAACCTTTGGTTTATCCCCGGTAATTTAAAAAAGATTACAGTATTCTTAAAATAATTTCTGAAATATTTAATGATTTTTTTCATGAAATCCTGCGAAAAAATTCAATGTTAAAATAAAATTATAATTCTAAAGGTTCTGATTGATATTGAGAATTTTGATAAATTCTACAAAGGAATGAGCAATAACATTTTATGGCCAGCATTTCACAATATACTTCATAAAATTGTTGTTGAAAATAAAGATTTTTATACAAATCTTGAAGGTATGTAAGGATCATTTGAAAGGATTAAAAATAGTTAAAGATTTGACTAAGGCAAATGGTAGGGGGTGGCTAACACATACAGAGAGAAAGAGTCTAGCAAAAGTATAGCCAGCGGGCAGGATTCAAACCTGCAACCTCCTTGCAGTTATCGCTAGGCGCTTTAGCACACCGCTTATAGGTTATAGATATAGCTGATAGCTCACTGAGTAGCTCACTTATAGCTTAATTATACTTATACACACTTATACTCACTTATATAACTCACTCACTTATAGCTCACTGAGCTACCGAGGCATCGACTAATGCTTTCTCTTTTATCCTTTTAGATCGTTTAACCCCGCCGTTTAACCCCGTTTTAAATGCTGCTAGGTGAATCATCCTTACAAGAGTGATAAATCTCAGGTCTAATTCTAGCTCCGGATTAGCTGAAATACCAAGTGTTCTAATACGTTCATAAAAACGGATAAAATTGCTATATTTTTTAGAGTATAGAAAAGTGAATAAACAATTTGCGGAAACAATTCTTGAAACGAAGCCAACAGAAAATGATTTTATCTGGATTCAAGATTATCATCTACTGTTTGTTGGGGAGTATTTAAGAGAAATTGAAGTTGAGAATGCTAAAAAATCTCTGGAGCGAACTAAGAAGCATTTGATTAATGATAAGAAAGCTTTGGTGAATGCTAAGGAACCTTTGAAATTGGGATTCTTTTTGCATACACCTTTTGAATTAACTAAAGATTTTGTTTTAAACTTCAAAAATTTTGAAGGGGAATTCGAAAGTTTGACTAAAGAAATCATAAAAGGAATGCTACGTTTCGATAAAGTTGGGTTCCAAACAAAAAAGGATCGCGATATTTTTGTCTACTGGGCAGAGGTTATTGAAAAAATTTTAGATAGTGATTAAGTTTTTTTTATTTTTAGTATTTTTATATGGAAACTGTACAAAAAACTGTACAAAAAACTGAGGAAAATACAATTATTAATTTAAAAATTGAAAATATTACACCGAAAAATGGATGTAATTTGGGTGTTTACCCAGCTACAATTAAAATTGATGATTTTACTAGTATTGCCGAAAATGATGAAATTATTAAGGAAGCTAAAAAATTGCATGACGGAGTAAATATCATTTAAAATAATTAATAAAAATTTTGTTCACCTTCAACAATATCCTAGAAATATTTTAAGAGATCCATGGAAAATCTATTTGAAATCCATGAAAAACGGAGGAAACCTCCGTAGGATAAATCGAGTGAGCTCCCGCTCCCCGCTGAGACATCATGTTATTCGTATTCTCTCCTTCTCTTTGCCTCACGTAAATTATTGAGAAGGGGATTAGTTAAGAGGTGTTTCAATCACTTATTTCTTCTTCATCCATTTGAATAGCCTGATGCCAGATCTAGCAGTCTCTCATTTTCCATTAAACCACGTTGATTCATAGAACTAACTTGTAACTTATAAAAATATTACAGAAAATGGCAAACACATTGGGGGGAGGCAAACTTTTCTTTGGTGTTGAACGTTTTGATTATACCAAAGGAATAAAGGAAAAACTTTTTGCCTTTGAAAAATACCTCGACGAACATCCTGATCGAGTTGGAAGAGATGTGTTTTATCAAATAGCACAAAATAATCGAAGTGGAATTGGATCATTTAAAGAATATCAGGTGAGATTTCTTTAGATATTCTTTAATAAGGTGAGATATTCCTCCCCTCAAAAAATAGCTACTAGCCTACAACACTTAAACCACTATCTATTGCCAGCAAGAATAAGGATCCTTAGTGTTAGTGTTACTAACAGATTTTAAACCGGAAGATGCAAATTGAGGGAGCGGCATCCTTTAAGGACCCACCTTAGCCTCTACATCGAGATACTAACAAAATTTTGTTTAAAATATTTTAAAAATTCAAATAATATATTTTCTCAAAATAGGATGAAATTAAAGAAATACCTGATGAAATCAACAAAAAATTTCAAAAAATTTTGGAAGACAAATACGGCAAAGAAACAGATTATAAAGCAATAATTTTTGAAACTGCGGGAGTAAAACGTGAAGATTTAATTAAACGCTATTTGGCTATGGATATTGGAGTGGTTACACCTGTAATGGACGGAATGAACTTGGTTCGAGAGGATTTTTTTAATTAGAAAATTATTTTTCTAAAAATTAGGTGGCCAAAGAAATGATTGTTTGTAATCCGAATGCTTCCCTTATTCTTTCCGAAGGAGCTGGGACTTATCACCAATTTTTAGAAAATAAATTGGCAGACAATTACCATTTGGTATGTTGATTATATCATAATAACTAAAAGTAAAGCAGCTGGGAGTAGTATCTAATAGGATTTTATTCCATAAAAATACTTTTTAAAAATGATTTTATTACACTTTTTAGGGAGGAAAATAAATACTAAAAAATAAAAAGGCTATAGAGAATAATTGCGAAGGTTTAAATACCTCGTCACTCCATTAACACTTGATACAAGTAAAAAACAATTTTAAAAAATTTTAAAATGTAAAAAATTTTAAAAAATTTTACTTAAAACCCCCACTTAGAAAATCAATTAAAACCCCACTTAAAAAATTGTAAAAGAATTTAAAAAATTTAAAATTTTATAAAAAACCCCCACTTAAAAAATCAATTAAAAACCACTTAAAAAATATAAAATTTTAAAATTTATAAAATTTAAAAAAGTTCACTTAAAACCCCCACTTAGAAAATCAATTAAAACCCCACTTAAAAAATTTTGAAAAATTTAAAAAATTAAAAAAATTTAAAAACCCCCAGACCCCACTTAAAAAATTTTAAAAAATGTAAAAAATTAAAAAAATTTAAAAACCTCCACTTAAAAATCCAATTAAGGACCCCACTTAAAAAATTTTAAAAAATGTAAAAAATTAAAAAAATTTAAAAACCTCCACTTAAAAATCCACTTAAGAACCCCACTTAAAAATCAATTAAAAACCACTTAAAAACCACTTAAAAATTGTATAATTTAAAAAAATTTAAAAAATTTTAAAAATTTCAAAAATTTCACTTAAGAAACCACTTAAAAATTTAAAATGGTTAAAAAATTTAAAATTTAAAAAATTAAAAAAACTGCACTTAAAAAACAATCACTTAATAAAATTAAAAAAATTAAAAAATGTACCTTCGATTTCGATTAATGGATAAGAGAGGAATTCCATTAATTGAAGACATGCACAAGGGTTATGGGGGGAAGGTAATTAAATGCACGAGTAAACGACAAAATTATTAATAAATCTATTATGTATTTATTATTTAATTTTAATTTTTATGTAATTTTATTTATTTTGTAATTTTTATTTATTTTTAAATTTTATTTATTTTTTATTTTTATAAGAAATTTTTATTTAATTTAAATTATTATTAGAGGAAAAATATTAATCTAAGTTAAAAACTAGTAAAAATAATTAAAAGAAAACAATTGTGCATTAAAATTTTATACTGAGCGCAGCAACAATACAAAAATGAGGAAAACAATAAAGCTAACAATTAAATATCTTAAAAAAGATAGGAAACGCTATCTAGTAAAAGGGCATATTTTAACATATCTATTCTTCATTCGTCACAACATCTATACATTCAAGTGGATAAAAATATTGGTGATTCTTTCCTCCAAAAACACATAGGACGGGTAGACGTGGAAGATAAAGGTTTATTCGATGACGGACATAGAAGTATTGCCTAAAAATGAAGAATATTAATAACAGAAGAAAAATAAAATTACCTTATTGTAACACGAAGATATCCTCTGAGAGCAAATACATGATCAGCGCCCAATTTTGTAAGCTTACAAGGATACAATTCCATCTGAAATTTATGTAAATGGTTTGTTACAAGTCCTTTATTTTTCATTGGAGCGTATCCATCCATCAAAAGTTTTTGTCCAATTCCCGCTGAAATAACATCTTCTTCAGTCATTCCAGATAGTTGTTGAATATATTTTAGATTTTCTTCCATTCTTTTACGCATAGCACAGTGCAGAGTTTCAGGCGTGCATCCTCCATTGAATTGACACAGCAGACTAACAAGTGATGTTTTTTTAAGGCAAGGCGTGGACGGCTTGGAATCGACATCGTTACGTTTTTCCCTCCATTGAGTAAAAGCAGAAGTTGAGGTTATACACGAGGTTCGCATGCTTATATTTTGTTAGTAAAATTTTCGCCTTTTATACCCTTGAAAGACGAACAGCTTCATTTATATTAGTGCGATTAAAGAAACCATTTCGAGCCTGATAGAAGAATAGTAAAAGAAAAATAAATATTATATACAGGACATAAGCAAACCCTAATATAAAATTTTGTTGAGGAGGCATAATGATTTCGCTATCTATAAAGATTGTATTATTTTCATAAGGATTACGGGGGAAAGGAAGAATTAATTCGGAAATAACCATCATAGAATAGAATAGCTGATACAATGCTACCGGTCTCTTATATACCAAGCGCTAATTTTTGAACAAAATTTCTTAGAGCGATATCACGTCCTTCAGGGGGTATAGAGTGTAATTTCTGTAGGACTTCGGAAAACGTTCCATAAAGTGAACGCAATACTAAAAAGCAGATACAATAGTGACCGCATGTGTCAGAGAAAGGTGATTGTAAAATAAAACGGTTTTGCTTAACATTTGAATAGGTTGAAAGTAAGGATCGGCGCATCTCACAATTGGGTTCTTCGGCAAACGAATCAAAGTATTCTATAGTATCTGCTTTGTCAGAATAACAGGCAATCCAATGTTCTCCTCTAGTCCCTTTACGCATTGTATTTGCAATAAAGCAAAAATTCTTTTTTTTAACAGAGCAAGGTATATTATTTGAAGAAAAAACACCAATAAATCTATGTTTTAACGGTTCATATTTCTGCATAATATTTTGAATTTGTAACGAATTCATACTGATCCATCAGTGCTTAAAACACGATCAGCATTTATGGACAGAATTGAGTCAAACTCACCCATGATAATCATTTCATATCCCTCCTCTTTTACAGGCTCGTTGAAAAAACACCTAACAGTCGTTGTGCCTTGTCTTATGAGTTCTAAACCATTTGTATCCTCAAGGGTGGAAGTCATAGGTATAACAAAGAAGCATGAAGATTTTGAAAATTCTTTCATCCCGATACTAAGAGTTCTTTGCTCAGAATTTGGCCACGCATCGAGATCCATACCTGAATACATATCAACGTAGGCGCGAACAAAATTATTATTGGCAAAGTCTAAATCATAAGGAATGGAAGGGAACTGGAAGCCTCCAAATTCTGCTGAAACTGAACGAACATTAGCATTTTCAAAAGTGAAGGGAGAAAGAGTAGGGACCCCAGTAAATGCAGAAGAATTTACGAAACAAATTATCAAGCGTCTTGGACATGTACTGGTAAATGAAGCGTGACTAATTTCCTGGCGTCCTTTTCCAAGAAAAACACTGCGAATTTCAATCTTTTTATAAGCATATTTCGCGGGAGTTTGTTCCAAATGTCTAGCAATTGCATTATTCAGCGACATACTTAAGTCAACTTGCTTCACATAAATTCTCATATCATGAAGCCGTAAACGGTAAGTATGAGTGTTATTTACAAATTCTGCACCTGCCGCATTCGGTGGTATTATTCTATACTTGGGCGCATGAATAAGAAACTCGTCAGAATTTCTATAGATGGTCCATATAACGTCACTGTGTGGAACTAATAGCTGATTCTGCCGCGCGAAATCATAATCTAAATGAGAAATCATTCGACAGACTTTACCTTTAGAAAAACGTGAAAGACGAGATTTAAATCCCGCGCCTTCAAAATCATCTTTATCTAACGCATCTTTGTAATAAAGTGAAGCCTCATACAGACCCCTACTTACTTCACGATCCGCACCAAGTTCATGAAGAATTATACATCTGTAGGCATAGTGGATGCCTGAGTCAAAACACTGAGTACCGTTAATAGAAAGAGTCAGACGACGAATCCATGTAAGTCCTAGATATTGAGCAACACTAATAAACCGATCCCCCTTGAAATCGCCGTAACCGTCTGTAATTGGAACCCACTCACCAGTTTCGTCGATTTTTCTTTCAAGTGATAAATTCAAGTGGAAATAAGTCTTGCTTAAATCAAGATAGAGAGAGTCACCAAAGTAACGAAAAATAAAAGGTCCAGCAGACTGATTGAGAGCATTAAGAGGAAGTAATTCCTTGTATGCTGAACGCTGAATTCCTACATTTGTAGCAGGAACAGAAAAGAATGTAATTCTATTATCAACTCCTTCTGCACTATCCTTATCGATTTTCTTTATTGTAGTCATTGTTGCGATAAAATTCTAGGTAACACACTTATATACTACTACTTAATTGGTCTTTATAACGACGTTTTTTGGTTGTTTGCTTGCCTTTCCCGCATTGCTGCAGCTTTTTGCCTACCTTTTGTAAACCTTCACTACCGTGTTGTTGTAGTGCTTCCTTAATAGATCTACCTTGTGCAACATCTTCGAGTACGTTTCTTCCCGCAGCTACTGCTTCTTGTCCAGCAGTAGTCGCTAGATTTTTGACAATAGGCAATAGAAAACGTCCAACAGTACCAAACAAGCCAAAGCCTCGTTGGTATCGTGTTCCTTGAAAGTAAGGAGTACTGTCCTTAATTGCCAACCCTCCTCCTTCTTGGGAATTTAGGAAGGGTTCCCAGTCAATACTATCCAAATCAACAGCTACGTGGGTCATTCAAAATAGCGACCGTTGAAAATGTAATGTTATAATACAATTACCCCAATGGAATTTTACGAGTTTCCCTGTCAAAGTTCTAATTTCTATAGTTATATCAGGATGTCTTTTACCTTGTAAACGGTGATGATGTTCAGTCATATATACTTCTGATACGCTATCTCCAGGTTTACCACTGACGTTTACAACTCTTAGAAGAGGAGCGGTTACGTTTCCTATAATGCTATTTTCAACTAATTTTGGTGCATACACTAATAATTGTCGGACTCCTCCTGAAATGTCGGGCATATACTTTGCAACATGGCCAGAGTAAACTGTTTGAGAATCAAATCCAAGAGTATAAGCTAATTGTTTACTTAATTGAATATATTTTACATTACCCTGAAACCAAAACCAAAAACGATTGTGAGTTAGGTCGTGATGTACGGAGACCCATTGATATCGTGGATCAGATAATTGAATTTTGTTTAAATCGAGAAGTTTCTTCTGGTATTCTGGGGGATAGCCATATTCTGTAACTTCCATATTATCAGCATCTCTTTTCCGTCGAAAAAAACCTCCATAGATT